AGGAATGGACTGAGGCCCTTGTGGTTGGGGGATGTACTAGTATCCTCCAAGAGAGAATGCTTTTTTATGATGAATCACATGTCCTTCTAAGCTTCATATTATTACTAGAGGCCCAGTGCATGAAATTTGTGCACTGGGGGGGTGACCCTCAGCTTCGTCTGCACCCTCCACAATCCAGGACCCCTTTCATTTATAGGCGTTTCTGTGTTTCTGAATGGTCTTTATAATTACTATCTGTTGCACAAATCCCCATGTAACTTGTGAACCATAATTTATTAGATTATTTCCCTAAATTAAATGTTGAAACTGTTCCCATGCTTACTTATAGGCAACATTGGATTTAGAACAATTGTTCTGTCTTTAAGATACAGAGATGCTGGTGCCTTACGTTTCCGGTTAAAGGCGCAGTTGCCAGGGTAGAGATGGTGAGCAGCTCAGATAGTCACGCTGTGTTTGCCGCCTCACCTGCCGACAGATCGTGCCACCTGCGATGCCCAGTGCCATGGAGCACCTCGCCCACGTTATCAAATCCTCACTAACCCTGGGCACTACCAATGTTAAGAACACGTGTGGAGGCAGCAAATTGCATTTCTAGGCTATGTTACCTTTCAGACCTCCACTGCAAATGGACCTGCAAATGCTTTTCATCGCTCCTGGAGGAACCGGGGCTCCACTCCCAGGACCCAGAGCTGGCCTGGAGCGCTCCTGCTTTCTTTGCCCTCCTGGGCTTGTGTAGAGCCCCAGGTAGGGGGTTGGGGATGAAGGCCAGGGGTGAAGGCCACCTGGGCTTGTGTAGAGCCCCAGGTGTGAGGGGTGAAGGCCACATGGCCTTGTGTAGAGCCCCAGGTGTGGAAGGGCTGGCTGGTTCCCAGGCCTTGATCCAGCCTTACTTTCCACCAGCTGCACTCCAACATACTGAGGCACACACAGACGTGTGCTGAGTCCCTAATTAGAAATGAGGAATACATTGAATATTGTAAACGAGCAAGCCTGGTAAAGCCCATCTAACCCACTAAGGAGGTGAAATACAGTATTTTTTTTTGTTTGTTTTAAAGCAAAACACAAATCTATGGGGTCACTTTGTCCTTTAGGCATTAGGAAATCTACATCAACGATCTATTTGTGAATAGTCAGCGCTCCCCATTCATTCACCCAGCCACCTGGGAAGCAGGGGAGGAATGGGACTGAGAGGCCCAAGGAAGAATGAGCTGGAATGAACAGGAAGTGGCCAAATAGCCAACTCTAATGCTCTGTTGTGTCGCTCGGCCCAGGCGCCCAGCTCCTGGGTGGGGGCTGGATTCACCCTTCTCGCTCTGGAGGAACAGCTGATGGAGCACAATTGAGAAGGGAGTAAAGTTTGTCTTCCCAAGAGACGGGAAAACCCGCAGCAAAAAGGAGCAGTTACTAAAGTAGGACAGGAAACCGTCTCAAAGTGGACAGGCCTCCAACGTGGAGCTGGGGGAGGCGGGGGAGGGCAGGAACGCCTTCCCAGAGGAGGAGAGGGTGGATGGGCTGGGCCCACAGGGAGGAAGCTGGACCTCTGAGCAAAGTGGGGTAAATGCTCCGACTCAAGAAAGGAGAAGGAGCCGAAGCCAGTTTGGCTCAGTGGATAGAGCGTCGGCCTGCGGACTGAAAGGTCCCAGGTTCGATTCCGGTCAAGGGCATGTACGTTGGTTGTGGGCACATCCCCAGTAGGAGATGTGCAGGAGACAGCTGATCGATGTTTCTCTCTCATCGATGTTTCTAACTCTCTATCTCTCTCCCTTCCTCTCTGTAAAAAATCAATAAAATATATATTAAAAAAAAAAGAAAGGAGAAGGAGGAGCTGGTAGGGCGGAGCCCGAGGAAGGGCTCAGCTCCTTGGAGGCAGACAGTCCATTTGCTGTCCCTCCACATGGAGAAACCAGAGCTAGTGGGTAGCAGCATCGAGTAAGAAGGTGGGCACATGATTACCAGGGGCACGTGAGGAACTGGTTCTGATCCGACAAGGAGGAGCTGCATCTTGGAAGTTAGGGTGTCCTGCTCATTCTGCATGGGGCAAGAAGGGGGCCCTGGTGGGGCACAGTCATGATGGGCGGGCTGTGCGGGCTTCTCAGAGTCTGGGATGTCCAAGAAGAGTCGGCGCTAAGGAGCCTCTGGCGCATGCAGGTCTGTGGCCCAGTGGGGAGAGTGGGAGCTTTGCAGAATGCCCAGGTGGCCTTCATGGCTTCCAGAAGGCTGTCATTGAAACCCGTGAAACTTGAGACACCCAGGAGGTCCCGGCACTGCATTGTCCTCCGCAAGGAGCTGAGAGAGGAGCCAGGAAGCCCGAGGGAGCTGAGGAAGGCGCGAGGGAGGCTGGGGAGACAGTGTTTCATGGGAGTCAGGGCCCCTGACTCGGCCTGCGTGCAGGCTGCGGCCCAGCGGCCCCTCGGGTCCCTGCTCTGACGGTGCGGGCAGTTCTGGGTCAGCCTGTGCCTCTGGAAGCAGATGTAAGAGATGCCGTAGGACAGTGGTCGGCAAACTGCGGCTCGGCAAACCAGGGCTCACAAGCCACATGCGGCTCTTAGGCCCCTTGAGTGTGGCTCTTCCACAAAATACCGACTTCTGTGCATGGGCCACGAAGTTTCAATCGTGCCTGCATGTGGTATTTTGTGGAAGAGCCACACTCAAGGGGCCAAAGAGCCGCGTGTGGCTCGTGAGCCACGGTTTGCCAACCACAGCCCTAGGAAACTGAGTCCCTGCTTACAAGTGAAGAGGCTGAGGTCCGAGCCCGCAGCAGCCAGAGAGGAAGACTCCCACCTCCCCTTCCCGCCACCTGCTGGCGGCGGGGGCTTGCAGCCAGGACATGGCTGAGCAGGCAGGACTGTAAATGCAACTCCCTTCGGGCGACTGTGCTCACCTGTCACGTAGCCCAAACCGGAGCTGCCCTGCCGGGCCCGGAGGAGAGGGGGTGCCATCCGCAGGGCCGGCCCGCTGCCGTCCGCGTGTGTCCACCCGCTGGCCCAGCGCCTTTCATTTTCCTTTGTGGAATCACCTGAAAGGTAGACGGAAACATAATCTTAATTCTTCCTTCAGCAAGACATGCCCTTTTGAAATCACACAAATAACAGTGTCCGATTGTCATGGTGAATTGCACGTGTGGATGAAAAATGCCTCCGTCAGGCTAAAGCCAGATATCAGGTCATAAGTCAACATTTTGCTGAAAAACTTCATTGCTAAGAGGCGGACAATGTATCTTTCCTTGAGAAAATGCGTTTGCCAGCAGGAAAGAATTTCACAGACTGCTACCTCCCACGGGGAGGGGAGAGATGAGGTGACTTTGCAAAGTGCTTTAGGGACTTCTGGAATCGGCGTGGCCGGGAGTGAGGGTCTGACGTCCTGGAATTGCTTCCCGAGGTGAAGCTCTGGGTGGCACGGGCGTGTCCTTTCTTAGAGGACCGCTGGGCAGCATCGTGCGCGCTGGGCACAGCCTGTTCCGGGAGTGCCACATGCTGTCCACACCCCCCTGGTGGGAAGCTGCTGGTGAGAAAATGAGCCATGCTGGCCCAGGCACTCCGGGCCCCAAAAGGAGTCCAGTCTCGACCAGCTTCATGGAGGCAGCGGTGGTTCCCTTCGGAGAGTCTCAGTGGACAAAGACTCAAGGAGGGAGACAGGGACACGCTGACGTCGTGAAGCTGCTGCTTGCCACCCGGCCTTCCTGTCTGCGGTGTATCGGCCTCCCCACCAGCCCAGCCTGCGTCTCCCAGCTCCCGTGGGAGCTGCGGGAGGCGGGGCGAGAGGGCAAAGAGCACATGCTCTCCGTAGGAATAAACCAGACTTGGCTGCATTGAGAACATCCTGCTCTATTTTCAAAGCCGGCCAAGGGACAGTGTCGACTTTGCCTCTCCTTCCAAAATGCAAAGCAGCTCACACTTCTTCCCGTGCGCTGGCCTCCGGCACAGGCAGAGCTCTGGCTCTGGGGAGCGCCTGCCGAGGAAGGCGGATGGCGGTGCATGTGTGTGGACGTGGGTTCTCTTGTGTGGGCAGTGAAAGGCCAGTGGCAGAAACCCAGGCAGACACCCTAACAGCAGGAGCCCATCCTTCATGGTTCCTCCCCATGTTGTGTCGTAAATCAGCGAGTGAGATACCAGACACCTTAATGAGCCAATTAATTAGGAGTCGTTCATTACGTGCAGCCCAGAGGGAGGTGTTTCTTCCAAATCTGTGATGAAGACACAGAGGAAGTGTTTTGTATTTATACCTTTCGAGCTTCTTGTCTGCAGGTTTTACAAAGGGCTCTGTCTGAGTGATTGTTACAGACAGTTTGAATCTTGGACACATAAAGAACAAACATTTGGCATAAGAATACGGGAATTATTATCAGTATTAGTCCATGACGTTAGATGGCTAGCTTACAAGGTCAGACAGTTAAGTTTTTATCTTTTTCTATTATTCAAACTAAAACAGTTATTTTATAGAATATGAGACCTACTAAAAATGACAGAGTTTACAGAGCAAGGGACTATCTCACAGTAGCAGAGAATTTTAAACAGCAGTTTTATACAAGATGGAGGTTACTGTGCTGGCCCAGGCACTCCGGCCATCGCAAGTGCCTGACTTAGATGGTGAGTCACAGCCCCTTGGGAGCGCTGAGCCTGGGGCATCTCTCCTGTCCACCCAGCAGGGCTCAGCCGGGTTCCATGGAGAAATAGTAAATGGAAGCTTCTATGCTCCCCCTAGATCTCTGGTGGGAAAAATCTCAGTTCCCTGGGGCCAGGGCAAGCCTGTGCTGAGGGTAGGTCCGTGCCCTGAGGTGTGGGGAGCCTGCAGAGGCAGCATCACCCCATGTGTCCGATCCCAGCCAGCCATGGCGTCGGTGTGGCATGGCGGACCTGCGGCCAGAGCACCAGGAGAGTGCGCGGTGCTGGCTGGCAGGCGGGCGATCTCGGAGGCCCCTCAAGTCCCACCATCGAGGAGCCTCGCTGCCTGAGGGGAGTATAGCAGGCTGGCCTGGCTGACTGCGCGGTCTTCTCTTTCAGGCAAAGAAGGGGAACTACGCCTTCCTGTGGGACCTGGCGGTGGTGGAGTACGCGGCCCTGACCGACGACGACTGCGCGGTGACCGTGGTCAGCAACAGCGTCAGCAGCAAGGGCTACGGCATCGCCCTGCAGCACGGCAGCCCCTACCGGGACCTCTTCTCCCAGAGGTGGGCGCCTCGTCAGGCAGCCCGGGGCCTGGGGTTGGAGGTGACCTGCTCCAGGCGATGAGAGTCAGCGCACACTTGTCTATTCACCCCTCTCCTTGGCGCCGACCTGTGCACTGCTTGCTCCCCCCACCCCAGCGGGCTCCGGGCCAGGCCAGGCTCCAGGAGAGGAGGTGCTGGTCTCACTGGCAGCTGGGTGGGAGGGCGAGGCCAGCAGCAGGGACCACAGAGGACACCCCGGAGCAGGAGGAGACCGGGACCTCCCAGAGGAGAGGCCTTGCAGCCTGAAGGATGAGTAGGAGTTACCCAGGAATTTAAATTAAATGAATAAGTAATTGGGTCTGGCAAGGGCCCAACAATTACTTCTTAAGATAAATGCAAAGTAGGAAGAGTCACTGTGGACACGAAACAGAGGGCTGGTCAGAGGAGCAGAGGCTCCATGGTGCTGTGTGTGTGGACTGGGCAGACGCTGCAGCTTCCCGTCGCCCAGAGCAGCATCCTGGTCCTCGCCAGCGAAGGGCGGGGGAGGAGGGGCGGAGGGCTGTGTGGATGCAGCGGGTCCAGCCTGCGCTGGCCTAGACCTTCCAGGGTGGTTTGCTGGCACGAGTGCATCCCGTGACCCTGCGTCTGGCTCCTGGGCGTGATGGTTTCTAGAGGCTCCGTCTGCACACCTGGCCAGCCTCCTGGAGGACAATCGTCTCTCGTCATCCCCGGGTTCCGCCACAGGAGCGTGCCTCGGTCCTTGGCCAGGGGCTGGCCTTCCTGAGGGTGGAAGTGGAGAAGCTCAGGGGTTTTGCCAGTGGCCAGCCCGCTCACAGGAGCTCTTGTCCCCAGGATGTCTCAGCCAGAAGCCCACCACTCACACCTGTCTGTGAGGTGACATCCTGGTGGGTGAAGGGGGCAGAACTGGAGCCCAGAGAGGCGTCCGGAAGGGCTGGCTGTGCCCAAACCCAAATGTGGCTGAAGTGCCGAGGGAAAAGGCCCACCTGGTGGACAGGCGTGGGGTCAGCCCCTGTGGCCTGATTGGTGCCCTCATTCCAGCACTGAGGGTCACCCATGAGGAGGGCAAGTGTCGTTAGAGGTCATCAGAGCAGCACCCTGAGGCCCTCAGGGGGAGCAGACACCGGGGCTCACCCGGCCGCTACCCGGGAGTTGGAAGAGAGCAGCAGGCTCCCTGCCCCAGGGCTGGCCCATGCTGTGTTGGATCTGCAGGCTCTTCCCTTCCTTCCCTTACCGCCTCCTGGGTTTGGACTGGGGTCTTCTCATCACAGCAGATGAGCCCCATCTGGAAAGGCCGAGGAGGGCCTCTGACTCACCCATCAGAGACTCGTGTGCAAAACTGGAGAAAGGGGTAGAACTAATGAAGTGAGATGAGGCTTGGGGTTTACTGTAGCTTTTAATGAAGCAGACACCCTATGCCTCCCTTTGCTCCCGGAGCAGAGAGAAATGACCAGGGAGGAGGAGGAGGAGGAGGGAGAGGAGGAGGAGGAGGGAGAGGAGGAGGAGGAGGAGGAGGAGGAGGAGGAGGAGGAGTGTCTCAATTGCCCAGATTGCAGGCCTGAAGACAGAATGACCTCTCCAGGTGCACAACCCACTGGTGTTCCTGAGGTTTGCCCCAGTCGGTTTTCTGAGACAGGAGGCCCAGGGCATTCCACAGACCATCAACCTGTGGGCACCTCTCCCCAGCAGATGGTCAAGGGGAGCCTGCTCACCTGCTGGCCTGCTGGGCCCCAACTGCCCCCTCCTGCTGGCCTGATCACGCCCAACTGCCCCTCACTGCCAGCCTGCTTGCCCCAACTGGCCTCCCCTGCTGCCCCCCCCAGCTACCCACCAGGTAGCTTATGTGCCCCCAACAGAGCTCAAGGAGGCACAGGGTCCCGGCGGGAGGAGCCCAGGGCCCCGCGCGTGCCCTGCTGGGGTCACCCTCCCTGCACTGGAGGGGAGAGCCAGACCCGCGGCCCCTCGTCATCGCATCCTGGGATGGTTCAGTGGAGTCAGGGCAACGGGGTCTCAGAGGAGGTCAGAGGGGGACCTGAGGGTACCCCACCCGGAGGAGGTGGTGGGGAGGGGGTGCTCACCCCCATAACTAAGGCTGAATTCAGAAGGAAGGCGGTGTCTGTTGTGGTGGAGCCGGACCCAGTTGGGATGGGTCCCCGAGAAGCAGGCTGCCCTGGGCTAGGCCTGCGCCTTCCCTCTGCACTTGCTGAGGGCAGTGTCTCCGGACAGAGGCCCATGGGCCCGGGGTCACCATGAGCAAAACTGGCCAGTCCAGTGTCCTTTGTTCTGGCGAGGACTTGTCACTCTGCTCGCCTCAGAAGGCCTCGTGCTCTGAGTAGGTGCGAGTCCCGCGGCTGTGCTGGCTCCTGAGCTTCTTGTCGTCTGTACTGCAGCCCCTCTGGGCCGGGTGCACCCTCCTGCCGGGCGATGGGTGCTGCGCGCGGGTGCTCAGACCTCCGGTGACTGACGGTGCTGCTGGCTCTGGAAGAGCCTGCATGTGTGCAGACCATGGCTGTCCCCGGCTGTCGACCTGGAGAGCGAGGGGCAGGTCCCCACAGCCCTCCATGCCCTTCACAGGCAAAAAGGTGTCCTGTGAACAGCAGGCCTCTGTCTGCTCTGGAGTCACGGCCACCTTCCCCCCCTCCCCCCACCCCATCCTAGGGCTAACATTTCCTCTGTTTGCGCCTCTTGCTCTGCAGAGCACGGGGCCCACAGCCACAGCCGAGGTGCGGCGGGCTTGGGAGCAGGCGGAGTGGGCGTTCAGTACTCGCTCAGCCGCTCAGCGTGCTTACCTGGCCTGCGGCCTGCGGCTCCGCTCCTGGCTGGAGGAAGGCTCCTGCAATTCTATGTCTGGAAAATAGGAGGGTGGCTCAGCAGAGGCTGCTCCGCTGGCTTCCTCGGGAGCAGTGGGAGTCACCGTGGGGGCGTTCAGCCAGCCTCGTTCCAGGAGTCAGGCTGTGCCTGTGACTTGCTTATCTTTCCTCTGTTGCTGATATATTTACATTTTCTTTTTGATTTGTTTGTTATGTGTTTTACTTGATGTTTTCCTGTAAATTGCCTTGCATTCACCCTGGAATAATATTGGGCATAAAAAATGCAAACAGTTACAAGGAGCTAAAAGGAAACACATCAGCAAAACTAGGCAGCCGGCCTGCCATTGCAGCGTGAGCAGGAGAGTGGGGCTCGGCCAGCGCCCCCCCTGAGCCAGACCCCCAAGAGCGCAGGTGACCTGCATGCAGCAGCCTGGGGCCCAGGAGACCAGGGCCTCTCGGGCCAGCATGACTCGGCCCTGAAGAGGAGCTTGGCCACTTTCTAACTGCAGCTGTGGCAGGTCATCTAGATCGGAGCCCAGGTCTCAGCAGTGAAACCAGTGTGGTAAGAACCACTAGAATGTACCGCGAGGACTGGCATGTGGACTGGTCAGCGCCCACTGCCTTTCAGCGAGGCGGCCTCTGTCAGTGCTGGGCTGCGCACCTGCCCCGCCCGAGGCCCTCCCTTCTCCTCCTGGAATGCTAACGCTGCCAGCTATCACAGGCTTGGCAAGATAGCTCACCTCTCTGTGCCTCAACGGAAGTAACCATCTCAGAGGGTTGACATGAGAATTAAACACGATTGTTGAAGCACTCAGAACATTTCTTCTTTTTTAAAATATTTTTTATTGATTTTAGAGCGAGAGGGAGAGGTAGCGAGAGAGAAACATCCATGAGAGAAACATTGATCGGCTGCCTCTTGCATGCCTCCTCCTGGCATGTGCCCAACCTGGAATCTAACCATGACCTCTGGGTGCACAGGACGATGCTCAACAAGCTGAGCCACACCAGCTGGGCAGAACCTCCTTAACACATAGGATGTGCTGGATGCATGTGATTAATCATCCTTCAGGCTTCCAGCTCCCTGTCACCTCCTCGCTGAGGTTTCCCTAACGCTCCCGTTCAGGCCACCGTCCCGAAGCCCCACTCGCAGCATCTGCCTCCATCCCATCGTGTTGGGCACAGCTTCTGACTCCACTCTGACTGCTGTACTTGTTTGTGTGTATGTGTGTGTGTGTATGTGTCTCAGAAGTTCAGCATGGAGAACATCATACTTGGCACAGTGAATGAGTGAGTGATTTGGCTAATACTACTGGGAGCGACTTAGGATACAGTGACTGAAGCTCGAAAGAAATCATGTTGTAAGCATGACTCCTCAGTCTGCAGCTGAGTGTGTGGCTCACCCCTTCTGCATTGCCAGCTCCCTCTCCTCACGCCCAGGGCCCACCTGAGGCCCGGTGTGCTTTCCCTCGGACCTCATCCTTGGGAGGTGGGACGGGTGGGGTGGGGAGTGGAGAGGTCTGGAGGCTTTTGAGGAGGAGAGGGACAAAGCCAGACCTGTGTTTTGGAAAGTGCACACACAGTGAGGAGCCGATGGGCGGGAAAGGCAGGGGCCAGAGCGGCTGATGATGCACCCTGTGTGGTGGGGCCGCTGAGGGCACAAGGTCAGGACCTGTGGCTCATGTGCGTGCGTCCTGTCTTGCAGAATCCTGGAGCTGCAAGACACCGGGGACCTGGACGTGCTGAAGCAGAAGTGGTGGCCGCGCACAGGCCGCTGCGACCTCACCAGCCACGCCGGCACCCAGGCCGACGGCAGGGCCCTCAAGCTGCACAGCTTCGCCGGCGTCTTCTGCGTCCTGGCTGTCGGTCTCCTCCTCGCCTGCCTGGTGGCCGCCCTGGAGCTGTGGTGGACCAGCAACCGGTGCCGCCAGGAGACCCCCAAAGAGGTCCGTGCGGGCCCTGCTCCCTGTTCTGCAGCCAAGGCGGGGAGTCCTGGGTGGCGGTGGGCAGTTTCTGTCCGGGCGGTGCTGACTGAGGCTCCTGCCATAGACAGCGGTGCACATGGGGGAGGACGGTGTCTTTGTTTCATTTTGATTTTAAAGCCAGAGACCACATGTAAGGGGTGTTTTCATGTCCAACAAAGTGCCAGGGCAGCAGCCATGGCCGCTGACTTTCCCTGAAGAGCAGGCACAGCCTGAACCATGCAGGAGGGCCCACCCTGCCGCCCGTGCCCACCCAACCTGCAGGGCCCAGCCTGGTTCTCCTGAGCTTCTCACTCAACCCAGTGGAGGGGGCTGGCCCTGCCCCTACCCCCCGCTTCCTTCCTCCCTCCTGGCCTGTGGAGCCTGGCCCGCCCTCGTGCAGGCACACCCAGCCCTGGGAGCCCTGCAGCCCCCAGCTGCCCCTTCCCGCCCTCACCAGCCTCAAGCTGGTTCTGCCTTCACACTTCCTTCTCCTGGGTTTTTGCTCTTCTTCAAGCTCTTTTTTGTGTGTGAAGTTTTCGTTAAGGTCCCCTGGAGACAACTTCTCTAAGGGAGGGTGGTGAGGAGTGGGGCTTGGTAAGGATACACGGCCATCGGAACTTCCACGCAGGCCCGTGGCTCCAACACAGGCCGTCGCTGCGGCTATATACACCCAGCTGCTTCTCGAGCCACCGTCCCTCTTCCAGTTCAGGTGGAGACAGGCAGGTCTGAATTTCAAACAAGACGCAGTAGAGGAACCAGCACCAAGACCCAAGGGGCAGCACAGCCATGGCTCTGCCGCCTGGAGAAGCAGGCCAGCCACACCCAGGCATCAGGCTGTGCGGCCTGGCAGCTGGCGGTGAGGGGACTCCTCCCCGCAGGTCTGTGTGTGCAGAGTGTCAGCGCCAGCGGGGTGTCTCGGAGCCGCTCCTGCAGGGCTGGGCGACAGGCCCTCGTGGATCCACTCCCCATGGCTTGTTCTTTAAAACCGAAGCCCAAAGCCCATTTCCTTTGTGCAAATTCCCCTCAGGTCAGGGGAAGGGAGAGATTCCACAGGAGGGTGTGTCGCACAGACAGGGACCCCGAGCAGGCTCAGCCTCAGAATGTTCCTGGGGAGCCAGGTTCAGTGAGAGTCATTCTTCTTTTGGACTGGAAGCCCTGTCTGCTCAGGTCACGTCCCTTCACACCCTAGTCTAGTGTTTAGAGACAGGCTCAGCCTGGACAGCCCAGAATGCAGGGCTGTGAGGGTGTGTGTAAGAGAGTGTGTGTGAGCGTGTGTGTGAGAGAGTATGTGTGAATGTGTGTGACTATATATAAGTGTGTGAGTGACTGTATATGAGTGTGAGAGTGTGAGTGTGAATGTGTGTGAGAGTGTGTTTGTGTGAGTGTGTATATGTGAGTGTGTGTGACTATATATAAGTGTGTGTGAGTGACTATATGAGTGTGAGGGTGTGTGTGTGAGTGGCTGTATATGATTGTGAGGGTGTGTGTGACTGCATATGAGTGTGTGAGTGTGTGAGTGTGAGAGTATGTGTGAGTGTGTGTGACTGTATATAAGTGTGTGTGTGTGTGTGTGTGTGTGTGTGTGTGAGTGGCTATATATGAGGGTGAGGGTGAGGGTGTGTGTGAATGTGTGTGTGTGAGTTACTATATATGAGTGTGTGTGTGAGTGACTATATATGAGGGTGAGGGTGAGGATGTGTGTGAATGTGTGTGTGTCAGTTACTATATATGAGTGTGTGTGTGAGTGGCTATATATGAGGGTGAGGATGTGTGTGAATGTGTGTGTGAGTTACTATATATGAGTGTGTGTGTGAGTGACTATATATGAGGGTGAGGGTGAGGATATGTGTGAATGTGTGTGTGTCAGTTACTATATATGAGTGTGTGTGTGAGTGGCTATATATGAGGGTGAGGGTGTGTGTGAATGTGTGTGTGAGTTACTATACATGAGTGTGTGTGTGAGTGGCTATATATGAGGGTGAGGGTGTGTGTGAATGTGTGTGTGAGTTACTATATATGAGTGTGTGTGTGAGTGACTATATATGAGGGTGAGGGTGAGGATGTGTGTGAATGTGTGTGTGTCAGTTACTATATATGAGTGTGTGTGTGAGTGGCTATATGAGTGGCTGTATATGATTGTGAGGGTGTGTGTGACTGCATATGAGTGTGTGAGTGTGTGAGTGTGAGAGTATGTGTGAGTGTGTGTGACTGTATATAAGTGTGTGTGTGTGTGTGTGTGTGTGTGTGTGTGAGTGGCTATATATGAGGGTGAGGGTGAGGGTGTGTGTGAATGTGTGTGTGAGTTACTATATATGAGTGTGTGTGTGAGTGACTATATATGAGGGTGAGGGTGAGGGTGTGTGTGAATGTGTGTGTGAGTTACTATATATGAGTGTGTGTGTGAGTGACTATATATGAGGGTGAGGGTGAGGGTGTGTGTGAATGTGTGTGTGAGTTACTATATATGAGTGAGTGTGAGTGGAGAGGGAGAGGCAGTCTGGGGAGACGGAGGCAGAGGTGGAAAGAGAGAGACAGGCCAGGAAACGGGGCGGTGCAGCCATGTGAGCAGCTCCCTCCTTGGCAGTCAGCCCCCGTCTTCCATTCTGGCTCCTGCATGTGCCTGGGCGCAGGCTCAGGGGTGAGGATGAAACATGGGTCCTGCTCCCACGGGAGGGAGAACCGGCGAGGAGGCCGGTGGAGAGTGCTGGGTGCTGCGTGTAAGGACAATGCTGTCTTTTTCCTGTGCTCACGGGCTTCTGGTCTTCAGGTGAAGTCCGTCCGTCCCTCCCTCCCTCCCTCCCTCCTTTAATGAGTGCACCTTACCTCCCACGGGCTTACCTCCACAGGCAGGTGGACAGAGAAGCCGGCCAGGCAGTCTCTGTCCTGGGAGGGAGCAGCCGGTTCCCTCCAATGCCCGGGTCCTCAGGTAGGGGTGCAGGGCTGCGGGTGAGGGAGAGCTCTTGGGGGTTGGGTTGTAGAGCTGAGTGTCGCAGGGTTTGTACAAATCCTGGGGCTGGGATGAGATTGGAAGTCGCCTACAGGAGGGTGAGCAGCACAGGCAGCCATCTTCCTCCCAGAGCCCTGGGGCTGCCGGCATCACAGGCGGCTGCAGGGGGCGGTGCTGGAGGGGAGGCAGGGACTTGCTCCCAAGGACTGAGCGGCCAGGGGTTTGGACCTTATCAGAGAGGGAACAGGAACCAGGAAAGCGGTTCAAAAGCAGGATTTTAGAAGCATGTCTTTAAAACCTTCCGTGAGTAATGAGGGATTTAATCCAGACCAACTCGGTCACTGGCTGCCTGTGTCATGGAGAAGAATGTGCAATCCGGCGGAGTGTCTGGCTCATCTCACCGTGCGTTATGTGGGGGCACGGCCGGTTCATTCAGAGCCGGAGACCTGCCTTCTGGGGCAGCCCTAGTCCCGTGTGAGGGCTTGTGAGTTTAGACACTTGAGGAAGAGCAGTAATGTGAGACCAACCCCTTAATATTCATGTGGGTCTGAGCTCACATTCTTCTAAGGAATCAGGCGAGTATGTAGTTACCAGTGCAGGTGAGCATGCCACCCTCTGCAGGTGCAGTGAAGGGCCAACACCAGGTTTAGGGGGAAAGTGGAGTCATTGCTCTGAGAATAAACCATTCGTGAAATAAAGATGAGAACTATGAGAACGGGAGAGGACATGAGGACCGAGGGGTGAGCATCCATCACTGGGCGGGACCTGGGGTTCCGGTTGCTGCCTGGCCGCGCCCCCTGCAGATAGGAGCTGACTCAGGCCAGAGCCAACCTAGTCTTGCCAGCACCCCTCCAGGCCAGGCAGCCGGCCTCAGAGCAGCTGGGCCCCTCAGAGCAGGCCCTCGGGTGGCCAGGCTGACCCTGCCTGCACGCCCTCCTGCTCTCCATGAAGATTCCACCTGGGGCCTCCCTTTGGCTCTACCCCTTCGCGCCCCCACTCCTGATGCTTTTCCAACTCCATGAAGAGGTGCCTCTGCTGCACCTTCTCCAGCCTCACTGACGCCAGCCTCACAGCTGCCCGAGGCTCCAGGAGGGAAGGCGTCCAAGTGCCTCTGTCGCCCTGTCCCCTGGGTTGGTCACTGGTGGCCCCGGAGCTACTCCCTTAAAGGCCCTGGTGATGGCAGGAGGGACAAAGGGTCAATGAGTCATGTGTGAGTCAGCACACACCCCTGTGCCAGGGAGAACGGCATGTTCTCCTGGGCTCTCCTCCATCCTCAGAACATCAAGGGGCATCTGACCCTAGGAAGTAGGGCTCAGGAGCGATCCAGCTGAACTGGGCTGTGCTCAGGTGTGTCCTGGGTGTGCACTGGGCTGTCCTCAGGTGTGTCCTGGGTGTGCACTGGGCTGTCCTCAGGTGTGTCCTGGGCTGTCCTCAGGTGTGTCCTGGGTGTGTCCTGGGCGATCCTCAAGTGTGTCCTGGGTGTGTCCTGGGCGATCCTCAAGTGTGTCCTGGGTGTGTCCTGGGCGATCCTCAGGTGTGTCCTGGGTGTGTCCTGGGCGATCCTCAAGTGTGTCCTGGGTGTGTCCTGGGCGATCCTCAGGTGTGTCCTGGGTGTGTCCTGGGCGATCCTCAGGTGTGTCCTGGGTGTGTCCTGGGCGATCCTCAAGTGTGTCCTGGGTGTGTCCTGGGCGATCCTCAGGTGTGTCCTGGGTGTGCCCTGGGCCGTCCTCAGGTATGTCCTGGGCGATCCTCAGGTGTGTCCTGGGTGTGTCCTGGGCTGTCCTCAGGTGTGTCCTGGGCGATCCTCAGGTGTGTCCTGGGCGATTCTCAAGTGTGTCCTGGGTGTGTCCTGGGCGATCCTCAGGTGTGTCCTGGGTGTGTCCTGGGCGATTCTCAAGTGTTTCCTGGGTGTGTCCTGGGCCATCCTTAGGTGTGTCCTGGGTGTGCCCTGGGCCGTCCTCAGGTGTGTCCTGGGTGTGCCCTGGGCCGTGCTCAGGTGTGTCCTAGGTGTGCCCTGGGCCGTGCTCAGGTGTGTCCTAGGTGTGCCCTGGGCCGTGCTCAGGTGTGTCCTAGGTGTGCCCTGGGCCGTCCGCAGGTGTGTCCTGGGTGTGCCCTGGGCTGTCTTCAGGTGTGTCCTGGGATGTGCCCTGTGCTGTCCTTCGGGGCTTTACAGACCCCGTGGAACAGGAAAAACCTGGAAGGAACACAGGAAAGAGGAGAAGGCAAGATCCAGCAGCTGAAGAGCCCCCCTGCCGGCGCCAATCCCAGGACCACCTGCTTGGCCAGTAGTTTTCCTTTTCTGGGAGCTGCAGGCTCTGCCAGGGGTGCCTGGCCTGTCCAGCTTCCTCCAAATTTTGCTGGCTGCGAAGAGAAGGGGAGGTTGTATTATCAACCCCAAGAGCGCCTGAAGTTCTCTCTCCAGTTCTCCAGCTTCCTGGATCTCTGGTACCAGTTCGTGCCTTTCATAGATCCTGGAACGACAATAGTCTGTAGAGTCAATGTTTGCCAATGCAGCTGTGGCCTGACTGTGGCTAATGCAGACACAGGAGCCGCGTCAGGAGGTCCTCACAGCCAGCAGGAGGCTGGTGGTCAGTGGGGGCAAGGCTTGTCCAGAGGCTGGGCCCAGGCCCAGGACAGCGTCTCGGAGCAGGGGCTGCTGGGGCACGCCACTGTACTGGACGGCACAGCACCCGCCAGCCTCGGCACCTCTTCATTCACCAGCTTCAAGCCTGCTGCCCTCGCTTGGGCCACGCCCTGCCCTGGGCGATAGGCTGGGGCCCTTTCAGCACTCTCCTTCCGAAAGGAGGTGAACCCTGGCCTCCCAGCCAGGGCGAGTCACCTCGGAGGGGCCCTGAAACATGGCAGTGAGCGAATATTATCAGAGATGCCCTCACATGCAAGAGTAACCACAGACACAGGAAACCCAGGAAAGGTTACGGGGAGAACAGGATCGGCCATGCTGAAGGGACTTAAGAAGAGAAATGTTTACCAACTGTGGAAGGAGTTGGGGAAAGACAGTGTGTGCATCACACGTAGTTGAGCAATGAAAAGGCTCTCAGTCTCCAGCTGCTTCCGCTAAGAGTACCCCTGACATTTGCCACCCAAAGGTGCTCTCCATTCAGGATGGTCTCCCAACAGTAGCCGTGCGTTCGGCGGTGTGGGCTTCAGGTCACTGGCGTCTGTGTGCAAGTCATGAGCGAAGACAGCTGTAGAGAGTGTGGCTCTGCTCTCCCCGGGGGGCTGGGAGCAGGGAGGGACGCAGAGTGGCCCGTGAAAGGCTGTGAGTCCTCGCGGGGTCAGCACGCGGCTGTGCACTCGGCGAGAGGGTTCAGACCAGCCCCTTAGGGCTCCCACTGCCTGGTCCCTCCCCAACTGGCACTTCAGGGGCAGACACTGGCATGGCCCTTAGATCTGTGTGGTTTCTTCATCTTTTTTCTTTGAAAACACAGTAAGGGCCGAAACCGGTTTGGCTCAGTGGATAGAGCGTCGGCCTGCGAACTGAAGGGTTCCAGGTTCGATTCCGGTCAGGGGCATGTACCTTGGTTGCGGGCACATCCCCAGTAGGAGATGTGCAGGAGGCAGCTGATCGATGTTCTCTCTCATCGATGTTTCTGGCTCTCTATCTCTCTCCCTTCCTCTCTGTAAAAAATCAATAAAATATATTTAAAAAAAAAAAAAAAAAAGAAAACACAGTAAGGACTTTCACATTGTGTGGGGTTTCTGAGACCTGTACCAGGCGGGCAGCAGACGGTTCTTCCCCTGCGTGGGGGCCGGTCTCACACAGCCTGAGCTCGTGGGATGCTCACCCCAGGCTGAGCTTGGCCTGCCCTTTGGAGTTTGACGTCAGCGAGGTGTGGGCAGCAGGCACGACCTTGCCTGGCACACGGCACAGGCGCTGCTGGAAAAGAGACTGCGGCTTCCAGCACCACATGGAGGGCGTGGCGCCTCCACTGAACCAAGGAAGTCGATTGCATTGTCTGTTTCTAAGGAACTTCAAAGCAGTTTGATGTTCTTGGTTTATTCTCAACAAATAACCAAGTTATTTGAAAGGAAGGTCACATGTTCTCTTTTCCTTTCTTTCCTAAGCAAACAAACAAACAGACCAATGTTCTTGATGCCACTCACCATAAGGAGAGACTCAGGGGTTAGGATCCCTCCATCTCCACAGCCTCAGGCCTCAGGATACCAGGAAGGTCGGCTGACCCTGGGAAGTCCCTTTCTCTGCCATTCCCGCCCATCACCCCCATCCCCAGCCAGGCCCAGGCCCTTGAGCCTGCAGCACAGGGACACGCCCGCCCGGGCATCCCTGGAGGTTGCTCAGGGAGAGCAGCCTTCCGGGACAGGTGCTTCCTGCTCCAGGCGCTGCCTCTGTATCTCTGCCCCGTGTTTCCAGGGTGTGTCGTGGGGTGTGTTCCGGGGGTGTATCCCGGGGTGTGTCGTGGGGTGTGCCCTGGGGTGTGTCCTGGGGTGTGTCGTGGGGTGTGTCATGGGGTGTGCCCTGGGGTGTGTCGTGGGGTGTGTCGTGGGGTGTGCCCTGGGGTGTGTCGTGGGGTGTGTCGTGGGGTGTGCCCTGGGGTGTGTCGTGGGGTGTGTCTCCAGGGTGTGTCCCTGGGGTGTGTCCTGGGGTGTGTTCAGGCGGTGTGTCCTGGGGTGTGTCCTGGGGTGTGCCCTGGGGTGTGTCCTGGGGGTGTGTTCAGGCGGTGTGTCCTGGGGTGTGTCCTGGGGTGTGTCACGGGGGTGTGTCCTGAGGTGTGTCTCCAGGGTGTGTCCCTGGGGAGCTCATTTGCCTTCCAGAACCCCAGCTTCTTTTATGTAGTGGGGAGGGGGGGGTGATTACGCATCTTTTGAGCATATGAGCACGGCATGCAAATGCATGGGCACATTGGGAGCTAAAGGGCTATTCCTTTGGCCCCATCAGAGAACACCCTCCTGTGTCTCCAGTCCTGCAAGCATCTTCCCCAAGGTCACTGGGTGTGACGGCAGTGATCCTAACAAGTGGGAAGGGGGGCGCACTGCCCAGGCTGGCTTGTGGGGTTTTGCTACTAGGGGCAGTGTCCTAGGGACGGGTCCCCAGCTCGCCAAGGGCTGGCCCTGCAGCCGAGGGAGGAGGGGAAATGCGCATGCTCACCACTGTCCACAGGCCCTAGAGGCCAGGGTCTGCAGCCTCCGAGAGCTGGAGAAAGCCAGCCGTGGCTCCCGGTCGTGTTCCCAGAAAGGGGCCTGGCCCTGAGCAGTCTGCCTGGGGTCAGCCGGCCGGTAGCATGTGGGTTCTTGACTTCGTGCAGGAAAGATTTCACAACACGAGCCCAGGTGACTGTGAGGCAATGTTTATTAAAGCCGGGACAGAAAACAAGAAAGGGTTTCGCCTAGAAGAAGCAACAGGAGTGCCCGGCTGGGCCGCTAGCTCTCTGGGGAGTCAGAGAAAAGGGGGTCTTGGGGTCAGGTGGAGGGGACTAGCCTGGGAGGAGCTGCCACTGCCCATTGCTCTCCAGGTTGCAAGCCTCGTGGGGTCCCTTAGAGCCTCGTGGGGTCCCTTAGAGCAGGACTGCTTGGCTGTGGGGAAGGAGAGGGGGCGGCAATGGCGGCGGCTCCTGGGGGAGAGCGCTGGGTCCTTTGTCCTGGGGGTTATTTCTCTCGCAGGCGGGAATCTGAGGGGAGGCCTGGGGAGGGTCCCAGCAGAACAGTCACCAGTTTCCAGGTGGGCTCCTCCAGGGCGTGGTGGCCACCGATGGGTCAGTGCCAGGGCAGGGGTGTCAGGCATCACAGCTGGTCCTGGTGCCGCCCACCTGGTTTTGCGGCTTTTCTGGGCCTGGAGCTGAAAGAGAGGTTCTCTGCGGGCGGGGCTGCTGGGGCTGCTCTGCGGGGGCTCAGCCAGGGCCTCGGCGCCCTGCCCCGCCTGGCTGCGGGCCGTCGGGGAGCGGGGGGCTGGCTGACCTCCCTGTGCTTCCCTCCAGGACAAGGAGGTGAACCTGGAGCAGGTGCATCGGCGCATGAACAGCCTTCTGGATGAGGACGTCGCTCACAAGCAGATCTCCCCGGCGTCCATCGAGCTCTCGGCCCTGGAGATGGGGGGGCTGGCGCCCGGCCAGGCCCTGGAGCCCACGCGGGAGTACCCGAACCCCCAGCTCTCGGTCAGCACCTTTCTGCCTGAGCAGAGCGGCCACGGCCCCGGCCGGACACTCACGGCAGGGCCCAGCGGCCCTGCCACTGCCGCTGGGCCGGCTTCGGCCACCATGCCCTCCGTGCCCTTGCAAGCACAGGTCGCCCAACGGGGGGGCTGTTCCGCCCAGAAGCCCGGTGAAGAACCCCCCATCCCCATGGGCCTACCAACCCGTGCCCGGAGACATGCTCCCCGAGAACCTAGACACCGCCCAAGACACCTCCATCTGACCAGCCTCCGCCCTAAAAACGCCCACCCACCCGACCAGCAGAGCTTTTTAATACGAGGAAACCACACACACAAACACACACACACACACACACACACACACACACACACGCACACGCACACACACTCGTTTTTCTTGTACATACCTGTAAATAATGACAGAATGGAGTGGGGTAAAAGTGTATTTTGAATATTCCCAATTTTCGAAGTCAGTAAAAAAACCACAAAAACGGTGTGAACGACTTTGTAAATTTTGTTCTATATGAATAAAAAGGCAAATTCCTTGTGATCATTCTGAAGTGCCAGAGAAGCGGGGCCTGGCCTTCCTGAGGGCAGGAGGGCGGGGTGTGGGGCTGCAGGGAGGTGGGGGAGGTAGAGAAGGAGGGGGGGTGCCGGCCCCAGAAGCCCATGCTGCCAGCCCGCTCTGTACCTCCTCTGCGGGCTCCTCTCAGGCCTCAGGCAGGTGAGGGGCCCGGGCGCCTGGGCCTGGCCGGCGCTGTGCGATGGGGTCACTGGTCCTGTGGACTCGGGGCCAGGGCAGGCCGGCTGGTCACCCACCACCGCGTGTCCCGGGCTGTGCCGAGGAGAGGAGCGCCATGCGAGGGTCTGGTCTCTGAGGGCTTTGGAGCCTGCGCTCTATATTGGCCTCGGTTCTTCTTGGTTTTCTCACTTAGAAGAATCAACAGAGAGCAGGAGGGACTGGGAGCCCCACCCCTGCCTCAGAGGGGTGGGCGGGAGGAGGGCGCAGGGAAGAGGGGAAGGGACCCGAGCACCAGTGGGCAGCAGCTGGGCCTTCGAGGAGTGATGGCTGGTGAGGTGAGGACCCGGCTCTCGCCTGCAGGGAGGTGAGCCACACCCCAGGCTGCCTCTGGGGCTGCCACCGGGAGCACAGTCTGCTGCGCAGGAGCCCACATGCGCCCCGGCCCTGCTTCGCCTCTTATCGCACCCCGGAGCCTTCCAGCAGCGATGCGGCTCCCAGCAGGCCGGCCACCAGCGCACAGTGCAGGACCCAGGCCCATCCTGCGGGGGGTGGCCTGCTGCTTCCTGCTCCAGCTGGAGGCCTGGCAGCAGCCCCTCCTCCCCTTTCTGGGCAATCAGACCATAGAAAACTAGGAGCAGCTGTCACCTCAGTGGGCCCTTCCTCTCCTGCTGCAGACCAGGAGCTGCTCTGCTGACCTGCAGGGTGGGACGGACGCAGCCCCGCCGCCATGAGGACGGCCGCCCCAGCAGCACTCGGGGATGCCAGGAATACGAAGTCCTGCTGATGCCTCCCCTATGGCCTGGAGGCTTCCTCCTCAGATGGATGTGTGAGGGTCGGTTTCTTCCCCAGTCCCGAGCGACCAGAAGAGCAGGAAGGAATGGCCTCATTGTTACAGAAAACCGGAGAAGAACCAAGCAGCGCTTAGAGAGATGGAGTTACATGTATTATTAGGCGCGGGCCCAGAGGAAAATGTCTCTAGAATTCTGGGCGAAGTCACACAGGAAGTTTCCTGTATTTACACCTTTTTACCCTCTTTGTCTCCCAAATATGGTGCTTTCCGGTCCCCTTTGCAAGTTCTTAAAGAGCCCCTATGTGCTGGGGCTTTGAGACCTCAACCAAAGGCTTGGCCCGGTGCCAGCACTGATAACTTCATCCGGGGAAGGTTTAATGGCCTCTCTGAAGTGGGAGTAATCTTATTTTCCTTATTATTTAAGCCAGCAAGCATCTACAGAAGCCAGAAATAGCAGGGTTAAAATGTCAAACAGCAGTTTTCATATACGATGGATGCTTCAGCATCACATGCAGCAGAGAGCAGCCTGGAGGGGGTTCATAGTCAGGCTGTTGGTCTCCGATGCTCAGGGCCTGACACCAGTGCTTCCAGGTGGTGGCTGGCCTGTCTCCCATCAGAGCGTAGGAGGGAGTGGCCTGCGCTGGGTGCCGGGGGCCTGCCCAGCTTACCCCGAGGGGCAGCTCCACGCCTTTCCAGCAGCACGGGGGCCTGCCCGATGGTCAGTGTTTCATCTATTTTTTTAATCAAATCGTGGTCTCACTGCCGTATCTCTCACCCACATGGGTTTCCTCCGAGACGGCCTGCCTTCTAGGGAATACCATGGCTGTTTTCTTGGGCAGCTTTGCTTAGAAGGGAGGAGAGAGATGACTCACGTGGTGCATGCGTGTGTGTGTGTGTGTGTGTGTGTGTGTGTGTGTGTAAGAGAGAGAGTACACATCTCTCATGGTGTGATTCTGCACCAGGTTTATGCTATTTTTAAACATTTCTTACCCTTGGCATGAGGGAAAATGACTGACTTCAAGCAAGTTCTCTAGGAAAAGAGATCGCCCATCTCAGATTTGTGTCCGCTCAGAATGCATCACTTTTTCATGCTTTGCTCTTTGGATTGGTAACTGTGGGCTAGTCCATACAATGTAGGCATATTTTGTGCCTTCAGACATTGCAAATAACAGTCGGCATTTGGATTCAAGTTGTTTGATAATAAAACCTGGCTTTCTCTCTGCTCTCCTCTGGGTGAAGAAGTGCTGTCTGTCGGTGCTGCTTGCTGTGGCCGGAACCGGTCTGTCCACTGCTGTGGCCAGTCCTGAGGACGGGGCTGAAACTGGCTGCGTCGGGCTGGGACCTGCCTCTGGCCAGGACACCCAGGCACAGGGTTTACCTTTGAGTCTCACTGGTCCCTCATATTAACGACACTAACACCGACCCCGACTGAGAACTCCGCCATCTGCACAGCGGGCGCCGAGCTCCCCTGTCATGGCCTCCTGTCGTGTCCGCACAGGCAGCTGCTGGGAAGTCGGGGCTCAGAGAGGCGCCTGTCCCACGTGGGCTGTGGAGGAGGCGTGTGGGGTCCAGGTGGGCAGAGTGCGGAGCCTGTGCTTCTGCCCAGGACCCAGTACTAGCGCCTCGAGGACCATGTGGGCGCAGGCTGAGACCCTCTGTGCCTGCCTCGCTGGCAGCTGGGGGGCGGGGTCAGGACCCGGACTAGACAGATGCTGAGTGTGAGTAGAATAAGCGAGAGCGGTTTCCCCTTGGGTCTCGGTTCTCCAGGGTGTGACCTTGAACTTGAAGTAGAGAATGCACCTATAGCACTGGGGCCCTGACTGCCAGATGCTGTTTCCAGTTCTAAGCTCTCCTGTGACAGGAGCCTCTGGATCCACGAGACCCCCAGGCCAGGCTGGTTCTGGCCGAGCCCTGCACTTGCCCTCGCCTGTGGAATGGGTCCCTCATCCCTTGCCCCTCGCCCCTCGCCTCTAGCCTGTGGAATGGGTCCCTCGCCCCTCGCCCCTCGCCCCTCACCTGTGGAATGGGTCCTGAGCCCTGAACTCTGAGCTGTTGTGAGGACCAGCGATGATGCAGGTAAGCGCCTGGGCACGTGCCCCCTCCCCAGTGGCAGGTCTTGGGGTGACCTGCATGCCTACAGCATCCTACTTCTTGGTGGCAACTGCTGAGCCTCTGAGCTTAACCACCCATCGCCTCATCCGCAGCTCACATGGCAGCACTAACTCCAGCCGGCAGCGAGCGGAGTGCCCAAGCAGTGAGAAGCAGCTTCCATTTCGCCCAGCACTAAGGGCTGGTGGTGTGCACCTACCCCCCCCCACCCCCGCCCCCCAGGAGCTGCTAGTGTGGCAGCCCTGGGTCTGTTCCTGGGGCAACCCTGGGGCAATGGTTCTGATTGTTCCCAGAAATGGGAGAAGCCCTGAAGGCAGCCTGGCTCCCAGGGGCCTGGCTTGATGGCGAGCTGTCCAGTCAGCGCCCTCAGCGCGCAGGGCTTGTGCTGGGGAGGATGGGACAGGAGCAGCCGGGGGTGGGGGGTGGAGGGTGGGGGGGGCAGCTGGTGCAGGGGGCTCAGCAGCTGCAGGGCACCGAGGAGCCGCAGGCTTTCAGCTGGGGGGTGAAGGGCATATCATCTGTGCCATGAATCTCGGGACCTTCAGCGGCTTCTTGGGGTGGCAGCCCTCTGCTTCTTGAAGTGACACCCAAGTTCCTCATGTTTTGTAGAAAAAATAGACCCATGATTTTGAGCCACCACGGGTATGTGTGCTGATAACTTTACATTTACTTGTGCCTGTTTTTAGCCTCTGCCACCACCTGAGTCTGAACCGCACACCAGCGACCTGCGGTCTGGGCCAGGTTGTCTCAGGAGGAGAGAAGGTGCCCTGTGTGCAGGAGGAAAGGACAGCTCAGCAAGGCCCTGCAGTGGCCACGAGGGACCCTGACCGGACTCTGAGGGGGGGCTGTCCCCCAGGGAGGCCCTGGGCAGAGCAGCGGTGGCTGTAACAGCAGCGCACTCCCCTGGAGGCAGGGGCTGCCACAGGCCCGCCAGGAGGGAGCCATCTGATAGGGCTCCGCTCCGAGAGAGAGGACGAGAGGATGGTGGGTGAGGGGAGACGCTCACTCTGCTCTCACTGTCCCCTCCCCTCGGGTCCTCTCCATCCCCAACAGCTGCGCAGGGAGCCCTGGAGAATGCTCACACTGACCAGCCTCCTGGGACAGAAAGCGGGTGGAGAAAATGAAGAATGGCTGTGGGGTGTGGGGAGGAAGGGAAACAAAACACACTTAATGTAGCTGGTGCAGAGAAGTCAAGGGGTTCCCATGGATTATGTGCTCATCATGTCCTGGGAGAATTATCTTTTCTTATCTCATTTCTTACCTCAGAAAATGAAGAAAAGATGTTTGACAAAGGAGGGCGATGAGACACACAGCGGTTCAGTGGTTTGCTCCAGGTGGTCCCGCTGGTCTGTTGGCCTCAGTAAAGCCCCGTTACCTGCCCACCTGGACAGCCCAGTGTGTTTAGAGCAGGCAGTGAATAGACACTTTCAGGGCCCGAGGATTCTGCAAACTGTGGTGAAGGTAGGCAGAGTGGGTTGCATGGCATTTGTGGAGAAAGCACTCGACTGTTTTCCACGGTCAGGGCAGTGCCTGTACCCAGCAAAATTCTAATTGGTTTGTTGGAGCCAGTCTTGGGAGTGGGTCCCCCAAGAGGACCAGGCGGGGAGCTAGGAGGCCGGCGC